CACTTTTTTACTAGCATATTTCAACATTAGAATAACTTTCCACAACTCTCCACATGTGCTTTTCCACTTCCTTTTCAAACATGAAAATCGACAAAATCAGACTTGAAAAGTGCAAACTATGACTCATAGGAATTTTCCCCGCTTCTCCTTCAAAACCCTTGTTCCATTTCAACTCCACTATCCCTTTTAGTTCACTAGTGAAGCGAACAATCGTCTGCAACTGGAACCAACTGGGATACTTATTACTGAAACAATACTAGCTACTCGGTTGTACGTTACCGCTCCTGCAACTGCTCCTAGATAACAGTTCTTCTCTCCAAACTAGAGCGTGTGTTATTAAAATAACTGCTACTTGAAAAGCCGTTATTTACTCGTAACCACTTGAAGCGCAACTACTCCTCTCCGGCACTTTATTTGTAACAGTTCTTGAACCCTGTTCCTTCTTCCACTACTTCGACTTGGACGAACTTCTAATGAAATGAAACTTCCAAAATGGCGGAACCAAACTTGAGACAATTTAAATATATTGAAAAATCGCACTAAAAATATTAACAGGAAAAACTTCTTTACATTTTAACATTTACACACAAACTGAACAATTTAAAACCTCGTCGCCAGATTTGTTATACTTTTACTAAGTTAATAACTGATTATGTTGGCCCACTGAAATTATACGGTATGATTACAACTAGGGATGGACGAGATTGGATTTTTAGTTCGAGACGAGACGAGACGAGATTTTTTATTTCTCATAAAATTTCGAGACGAGATCGAGACGAGATTTCTCTTCTCATACACAACGGGAAATGCACGTTCAAAATTTTTACCTGATTTTGTAACATTGTTAGATGACTGTTTAAATACTAAAATAATGATAATAGGCAAGAATATTTACAATCTTTCATTAAATAACATCAGCATAACATTTTTTTATTAATCACGCCTAACTTATTAAAAATGCCTACGATTAGGAAACATGGTGATATCAGTTAGGATAGAGTTCAACTTATCCTAAAATAAAATAAATCATAAAATAAAAGCAATATTAATTTTTATAAAATAGTTACTTGTTTTGACTTTTTTTATAGTAATAAAACATTCCTCACACTGCTTACACTTAACAAAACTTCTCAAATGTTATTAAAGTAATATTATTAAAATAATGAAAGTAATATTTACATTAAAAGAATTAAAGTAATATTTACATTAAAAGAATTAATTAAATAAGAACGCCTTCGAAAAGGAAACGCAACTACAACACGCTCCTGTATTGCGGGTATTGCATTGACTTTCTGCAGGCGTTTTTAATTATTTTTTTTATTTTTTTTTTTTTATTCTCGTCTCGATAAAAATCTCGGCCAAAAAGTAATCTCGTCTTGTGTAACGAGATTGAAAATTTCCCGAAAATTTCCCGAAATTTCGAGACTTGACCATCCCTAATTACAACGATGTGCACGTACCTGAAGTATAACGTAGACTGCGTTGTCGTCCTCATCGTCTTGTCTCCAGGGTTTGAACTTTGTACTGTGGACCTTTGATTTCTATGCTATTGTTCTTAACCATTGTAGTTGTCTACTTTACAACAGTTACCTTTGACGTTATTGATGAACCGTAATACATGAGAAAGTACAAATTTAGCTTTACTCAGGCTAGAATATTTTTCAAGCATTTCTACTACAATGCTGTTTTGGTTATCAACTGTTGTAGATAAACATTCTTTTCTAATCTCAGGCAATTTATCTACTTCTTCTGCAGATGAATGGTGTAATGACCAGGAATCAAAGGGAGTGTACAGAAATTGAGGTCCTTTCCACCACAAGTCAAAATTTACAAGCTCTTCAGGTGTCAAGCCGCGGGATGCGCAATCCCAAGGATTTTCTTTAGATGTTACATGGTGCCACTGTTTTGGATTAGTTGACTCAAGTATATTTACAACCCTGTTTGCGACAAATGTTTTTAACTTGTAAGGAGGAGTTTTTAACCACATAAGAACAACGGCTGAGTCAGAAAACAATATGATATTCTGGGGGTCAACAGTCTGGGTTAGATGCGTACTAGATAATACAACTTCTGTTAGTAGTTGAGCAGCAGAAAGTTCTAATCTAGGAATGCTCATTGTTTTGAGTGGGGCGACCTTACTTTTAGGTTTGATAAGATGTACTGATATGTTATCAAAGGTTTCGGTTCGAATATAGATACTTGCTGCGTAGCCCTTTTCAGATGCGTCACAGAATCCTATTATCTGATTTGTGCTGTGAGGAGTTGTAGGGATGAATCTAGGTATCTTTAATGTTGAAAGAATTGAAAGGGTTGAAATAAATGTTGTCCATTTACTGCGAAGTTTATCTGGTAGGGGGTCATCCCACTCTAGTCCACATAACCATGTGCTCTGCATGATATGTTTGGCGTAAAACGTAGTGGGTGTTATCCATCCTAAAATATCATAAATTTTAGCAATCTCAGAAAGCATTGAGCGCTTGGTACAAACTACAGGGTTCAGTTTAATTACATAGACAAATACATCTTCAGCGGGATCAAACTGTAATCCAAGTACTTTAACAGCAGAGTCGTCTTCGGAGCGTAGGGCGAGGGGATTTTCTCTACAATCAAGCGGAACGCTGTCTAATATTTGGTGGCAATTACTGGCCCATTTTCTTAGGGTGAATCCTCCCAATCCAAGAAGTGTAATTAGTTCTTGCTGTAACTGAAGTGCTTCTTGAGGAGAATCAACACTGGTACAAATATCATCCACAAACGTTTGATGAGTGATAGCTTGAGAGGCGAGTGGGTATCTTTTGCCTTCATCTTCAACCAGTTACAGTAATACTCTTTGCGCCAAATAAGCACTAGATGTTACACCATATGTCAATACGTTCAGCTCGTACTCATTTATATCTCCATTTGGATTTGTGCGATAGAATATGTTCTGAAATGCTCGATCTGTGGGATTCACAACGATTTGCCTATACATTTGTTTTATATCGGCACACACAACAATTTCATGTAGGCGAAAATTAGTTATTATCTCTCCTATGTCTCTTTGCAGCTTTGGTCCACTATACAGGATATCATTGAGGGAAGAGGAATTTGCATAGGGCTTAAAAGACGCATTAAACACTGTTCTCAACTTTGTTGTACTACTGTTCTCATTTTTTACACAATGGTGGGGAATTACATAAGGTGAGGGAGTGCTGGTGATACTCATATGACCTTGAGCTAGGTAATCATCCATTAACTCTCTATACTCCAGATAGGTTTCTGGTTTGCCTTTTAATCTGTTCTCTAGGCTGATAAGTCGTTTCTCTGCCTTATCTCTTGTGTTCGGTTGGTTGGGTGCATCAGGTTTTATTGGTAACGATACGACATAGCGGCCTGTTTTATCTCTGATATGTGTTTCTGTGAAATGTGATTCAACTGCAATATCATCTGGACTAGGATACTTCACATTTGAACCGCTTCTACCTCCCAGAACCTTTTGAGAGTACTATCAACTGATTCATAACAGTTTAAAAAATTAGAACATTCACTTTGACAGGAGGAAGTGGCCACTCTACCACCAACTATCCATCCAAAAATAGTGTTCATTGCAGAGGGTTCACCTTTTATGATATTATGCGACTCTTTTATTATATCGAAATACAAATCTGCTCCTATTAGAAATTCAATAGGCGAGCTTTCATAGAACGTGGGGTCAGCGAGCTGTAGATTATCAAATCTTGAGATGATTGTAGGGTCAATATCAATGTTTGGCTGATCGGATGATATCTTTGGTACTACAACTGCTTCAGTACTCAAAGAAATATTAGAGTTCTTAAGAGGGCTTATGTTACATGTTACTGAACCTTTGTTCACTGGGACCTGTGTGTCTGCAATACCTTTGATGGTTATTTTATTTTGATGTTTGGTGAGACCTAACTTGAGAACACATTCTTGAGTAATTAAGCTAATTTGGGAACCTCCATCAATAATGGCTCGGACTGGTGTCAGTTTGTTATTTTTATCCCTTATGCCGATAATGGCTGTGCTTAACATCATGTTTGAGGTGGAATTTGCATCAGCAAAATTACAAGTTTTGGATGAGGATGGATTATTTATTTCTTTTGTGTCATTGTGTTTGGTTCCTAAGCTCTTTTCTCTTGAGAGATAGGGGTCTGCAGTTGCATTAGTAGCTGGACGATGCAAAAGTGTGTGATGCTTGCCATTGCATATTCATATTGAACATCTTGGCTGTAAAATTTCATCAGGGATTTTTGCTCTGAGAAAAATGTCTAACTTATGTCCTTTGGAAACATTAAAATAATTTACTTTGCTTTTATTCACTCCCACATCTCCTTTGGCATAATTTTATATGGGGCAACCTCGCAAGAAAATTCGGAACAAATATTATCATTGTATCTGAAGAAGCACTTCACATCATGTTAAACATTCAAGATTGGAGGACTTCAGTTAAAGAACAATTTTCAAAATTTTGTATTCTTACTGTTTTTGCCCAATATATCTTTGATTTGATCTTGTTTGTAAAGAATAATTTACCAAAATTAGAGACCTTGGGTTCATGCCACAGCTATGGGACAGAGCACAGACATAAAATCAGTTTTTCAAATTACAACTTCAAATTCTTTAAAAAACCCATCATATGCTGGGATTACGTTTTATAACCTTATACCTGATAATATTTTACAAATAACAGACAAAAATAGATTTAAAAAACAACTAAAAACTTTTATGTTATCCAAGCCCGTTTATTCCCTAGATGAATTTGTTGGTTGACCGTTTTGTAAGTTATAAGTTTTTGTATTTTTATTTAGCCTTTTTAAATTTGATTAGTTTTAACAATATAATTTAATTGTATAACACCATTCTGGTGCAACAAACTGTAATCTTGAATAAAGATACTTTGACTATGACTATGACCTCTATTTTATAGTATGTTCCTTTTTCTGTAGACAAATAGCAAGGGATCATTCATTAATGAGGTTGTATTAACTTTTGTGATGCAGGCCAAGGTTGTTGAAGAAAGTGGGATTTACGATGATATCATCCAAGAAGGGTTTGTGGATTCGTACAACAACTTGACCATCAAGTCAGTGATGATGCTGAAGTGGGTGCAGCAGCATTGCTCATCAGCTCGGTTCCTGATGAAGTCAGATGATGACATATACCTCAACCTCCCAGCTCTGTCGGAGGCCCTACAACCAGTTGCCAAGAGAAAAAACATCCTCATCGGTTCCTTAATTTGTAAAGCCAAGCCTATTCAGGACTCCACCAATAAATGGTAATAATTAATTACAAAACTTACTTCATGAAACATATTGTAGTGGTAGGAATTTGTTATTTATTATTTAGTTTAACCCTTTGTTCAAGGGATCAGATGGCCAGATGGCTAACTGTTGTCTTTGCCACTCGTTTACCACTGGTACTGCACATCTTAACACGTTGGGTGCTGATGACGGGAATTCCCGCAATTGCTTAACATTGAAATAAATGCAACTTTTATGTTCAAACATGTCGACAGCACAAATAGTGTTAAACACACTTTGAATTCTGCAAAAGCCAATTCAACAAATTGAACACAACAATTGTACAAATCAAATTGTTTGTTCGATTGTACAAATTGAATTGTTCAATTCAGGTTTTTCTGTGGTTTGGTAGGCCTACTGACAAAAAATTTTGTACACAAAATATAATTGGTTTTTGGTTGATTTTTACTGAGTGGTGGTAACTTGTTAGTTCCGAGGTGGAGGGAAGAAGCTAGCATGGTAAGCTGATTGGCCAAGTAAGTGGCTAACAGACCTGATTTTCAAACTATTCCACACTATTAACGTCAAAGACAAGGCCAACCTATTTGCAAACAGTTAGAGACAGTCAGACAGTTGCAGACAACACAGTTAGAGATTTGTCATATTCTAAACTAGATGGTGTTGTATACCCTATGTCACTTTAAAAAAGTAAAATATCTGTGAACATAGTAGTGCCACAAATTAGTCATTAAATCAATTAAGTTGTTCATCCTTGTTTATGATTCAATGTGCCTTGTAAAGAAGCTATGCAAAGTCTTTTTGTAGGATATTCAATTTTGCTCCTTAAAGAGAGAAAGACATTTATGAGGAATGCCTTGAACATACCTAGTACAACTTTACAAGTGCTTTAGAGCAGGACTAAAAGACAAACAAAATATAATAGGTGCTTTCATTTTGAAGTTCTAATTATAATCTCAGTTTATTATTGAATTAAAACACAATAAAACAATTTTAAATATAAACCTGTGCTTGTAATTCATAGGCGAAGCTTGTAGATCCTGAAAAATGAGATAAACCAAAGTGATTTGATTATAACTGAATCATACTTACATTTAAGTTGCCTTTGGAATGTGTTTAAAAATATCTGCTATTTTGGTTTCTGTGGAAAGTGATATGCTGTGTGCATGAATAAACTTATTCAGAGAGAGAAACTTGAATATGGTCTCTTCTATGTGAAAATATACTCAATAAAGTAACCAATCTTAGTAATGAAAGCCATGTTTGCAGAATATTCTTGAAACCCTTGGCCTGCAAACATAAGGTTTTTTTGAATGAACACAAAGCTGTTCCCTCCCCTAGTCACAACTGGAATGTATAATGTTCATGTTAGGAGCAAAATGTTAATGTTTACTTAACAATAAATCTGTATTTATTTTGTTTTCCTTTAAACGTAAATAAGTGTCTTTTCTACATGGGCTCTACTGATTTGCAGGATTAAGAATATGCATTAATTACTTAAATATTCATTACACTGTTGCTTAGCTTAGCGAACCTCAACACTCAAATGAAACAGGAGGAAATGTTCTTTTTAAATTGTTTAAAACAGTCATACATGTAAATGATGTTCTAAAAGTTTATCTTTTTTCACCATTTGTTGCTAATGAGCATTTGATCCTGCCAATAATAAATTTATAAAAGGCTTTTGACAGATGATCCTTGGTTTCTAAAAAAACTATATATTCTCAGATATCATATTGTTATTGACAGATCAAATTTAAATTGTGTAAAAATATGGAGATTGGTGTTTATGTAATTTTATGTGGTTACTTCATTTTATCATTCACATTGTTCAAACCCTCTTTTATTATACCTGTTATATATCTGAAAATTACAATTATTTTGTCCAATAGATCACTAATGGATATGCGATTGAACAATCCAAAGATTCCACATTATTCAAGTTACAGTATATATTATTTGCAAATTAAAACGTTATACATTTTCTGTACATTTTTTGTAACTAAAACAAAAACTACCTATGAACTTAGTTTAGTGCTATTTCATCTTAATTTTTTTCATATCATTATCCAAATTTGTTTTATTACGTAATCTTATTTTTTTTTTCTGGTACATGTTATAATATTACTGTATTGTCAATTTATTGATATGTGATAAATACGTGTGACAAAAAACATATTCAATTATAATTTCAATTTCTGAACTACATGAAAAATATACTGGTCATAGAGATAGATTCATGTCAAATTTGCTTTGATTAATGAATTTATCTATTTATCTAAACCATTAAGATTTACATATGCTCTTGTTTGTTTTAGTGGTTTGAATACTAGAAAACAGGGAACTTTTTTACTGATTTTACTGTTTTGCTTAATACATGCCGACTATCTATGTTGAAAATGTAAAAAACTCCTGGTTTTGGAGTCTTCAAACCACTAAAGCGTCCATAAGCAGGCCTAAAGCTCAATAGTGTAGCATATGGTTGGAAACCTTAAAATAATAAGGTTTTAAATGGCGCAGTTTTCAACATATTTTCTACCTTCTTGTGTACAGGGTGTAGAAAAATGCAATAGATCAATGTTTTTATATTTTTATCAAAGACCTTAATTTTTATCTTTGGATCTTTTTAATGGAGTTTTGACCATTAATCCTCTATAATTTTCTATTATTCTTATTCAAAATTTAATGTAGAACACGAAAATGACATTATCTACTCAAATCCATTTACAGGTGTAATTGAGAAATTGTCGTTTTAAGTTTGAAAACATGGTTTTTTTTTAACTTAAAATAATTCTTTGGCTAGCTATTTTTTTTAACTTGGAACCTCTTATATACAGCATTACACTTCATTTACTTTGTACTTATACCAAAATTTTTTTGTCACACTGACTACAACAATCACCCTGTATAAACAAAAATCCGACAAAATCCGAGCATGGGAACCCTGAAATAGTAGGGGTTTTCAAACATACCAAATTTTTCATAATAGACAATTACAATTTCAAAATTTTTCATAATAGACAATTACAGTAGTAGTCAGGGAAATATAGGATATGACCTTAAAATATGTTCATAAAAATGCATGTGGTACTGTATATTTTTTCTAAAATTTGTCCAATGCTGGGAAAACCGCCATTTTGAATAGTGATTTTAGGGGTTTCCCCGTATATTAATTTTTAACAACTTTTAGTATGTCACTTTGCACACCCAACGCTAAAAATAAAACCATACAACGTTTCATTAAAAAAAATTTTAAGGTCATATCCTATATTTCTCTGACTACTACTGTTGTCTATTATGAAAAATTGAATTTTGGTATTTTTGAAAACCCCTATTTTTTCAGCGTACCCATGCTCGGATTTAGTAGGATTTTTGTTTATATATTGTTGTGTATGTATGATTTCAAAATATGGCTTAAATTATCTTAAAGCAATTTTTCCCACCTCAAAGTGTATTTTACCCGTACTAGATGTCGCGGTTCAGCGCGCGTAACTGATAGCGTTCCAAGTTGAAGACTAATAACAAATTTATCCCATCTTCAAAGCAAGATACAAACTGATGTGATGATTATTATTGTTCAAAATGTAATGCAGATTCTTTTAAGAGCCATATAATATGTATGTTCTTATCACCTGAGTTTGTATTTGAGAAAATTTAAAGGTTTTACTAAAGAAATCTTTGAAATTTGGTATTGTTTCAATTTTAAGCTGTCTCATTTAAACAAAACAATATTTCAATGGTATAAAAGCTGTTATTATCTTATAGTAGACTTAAAGAGGAAGCTATTAAGACAAACCGCAGATTTTTAAGACGCTTAGTTGTCAAACTATTGATGTTTTACTCAAAGCTTACATAAATCCAATATGGCGGTAGTTTTTTCTAAAATGGTGGCTTTCCACCAATTTGATTTCTCTTGATTTTTAGTATGATTATGGACACCTTTGTTGACAAAATCCCATATATTTTATTCATATTACCTTAAGTTTCATGTTATGCTTATTTTGACTCTAGATTGACTGGCCTAATATGGCAAATGATGGATCTGATGTTTACTTAAGTCTGCCCCACAAAAATGTATCCCTTTTACAGTAATTTAATTGCAATCAGTAAGTATAAAATACAATGGTATGATCATGTTAGTATTGGTAAATAAATACTATATTTTTGAAACTTAATCTGGATTGAAATGAATTTTAAAATCAGGATAAAAGGCTTATGTGGATGGAACAAACAGAACTAATTTCTACGTTTTAAGAATTTTCGCTATGGTATCAGGGTTACCTGAATGGGAAAGATAACACTCTGGCACAAGAAACACAAAACTCTTTACACTATATACAAAATTAGAATATTTCACTGTTACTGAAAGAATCTTCAAACAAGGAATACCTACAAATTATGACAGTAAAATATTGTCTTTTCTGTGTATAGTGTAAAGTTTTCTGTTTGTTGTGCCAAAGGGGATTCTTCCCCATTCAGTTAAACCTAGAACCTCGTCGTCTATGTTACCTCCTTAAATTGTAAAATAGTTACTTTTCCCACAAACTAATAGATACAGGATAGTTGTTATAGTCTGTTTTTATCTTGAACTCTCAAATCAATCATAGAGAACATACTATGTTCCTCATTATACAAGTTTTGAGGCTTATATGAATGAAAGAGTTTTGCTTTTCCAGGTACACTCCTCAGTACATCTTCAACGAGCCTTACTTCCCCAACTACTTGTCTGGCACCGGTTATGTGATGTCCCAAGATGTTGTTTCAAAACTTTACAAAGCTGCTCTCAGTACCCCCATCATACATTTGGAGGACGTCTATATCACAGGTACAGTAATATAGTAATGAATTTGTTGTTCGGTTGTTTGGTCACACAATTAATTCTTCTCAGCAAGACTGAGAAATTGTGCGTTAAAATCTCAGGATTCATAATCCAAGCACACTAGACAAACATAACAAAATCATTACTTTTCAACGTAGGCCTTGACTCACACCTGTTAACCCTTCCCGGACGCGCAAAATCGTGACATAGAACGGGAAAAAATTATAGGAAAAAATAAAAATTAATTTTTCTTATTTGTGTTTTGTTCTACAAGTATACATAAAATAACACGTTCATGCGACGTCGCGGTCATTGCCACAGACCGAGGTATACATTTTAATCTTACACATAGACCGACTGTCACTTGGTTAACAGTACACACAGACAATGGGCGAAAACCTGTAAAACAGCGATCATTTACATTGTAATGCACTACAATCGTGTTTGTTAATAATTTATTCTTGTTTTTCTGTATTTTTTATAACCTTTTGTAATGTTGCATATTTGCGACGCCCGGTCTACAGCGAAGACAATAGTGAAAATTATCATAGTTTTCTTGAAATAGACCAAACGTCGCATATATGCAACAGTTCATTTTTTTGTGTTTTTAAGTAAAAGTAAGTTAAAAAATAACTTAACTTAATTGGCGCCTTGGTACCGCGAAACATCTGGTTACTGCTCAAGCACCTGCCAGTCTGTCTGAAGAGAATTATTATTATTATTATTATTATTATTATTATTATTATTATTCTTTGTCATGAGAGCCGAAGCCCCCTGACTACGTACCCGGTACCTGTCGTGAGACTCAACCCGGGCCCCATGATGTAGGCCGAAGCTTACGCATCAACCTTTAGCACATCATGGGCGGATGACTTAAGGTCATCAGGCTCGCCGGCTGCCGAAGCAGACCCTTCGGAAAGAGGGTTGCCCCTCAATCCTAACCAGGGATTCCGGCTGCTTGTTTAAGCGTCACTCCACCTGGGTTCCACTAGGTCGGAACCTAGAGGTCCATAATGGAGCGCCCCGACGCATTTAGTGCAAGCAACACTCGGGACCTATCTAATCCCTGACAGGCAAGCCCGCCATCAATAGCCAGAAGGAAGGGGACCGTCAGCACGCTGACGGGGGGAACCCCAACCTCCCATTTACACCACTACCCGATCGAGGCCTTACCCAGTTGCTGGGAAACCAGAGATAACCAGAGCGATAGATCCCCAGATACCCCTGGCGGGCTCGGACCCAGCACCCGATCTACTTCGTTTGCCCGTCAGACCCAACATCACTGCCAGGCCATCAGGGTTTCCCAAAAGGAGGCAGGTATAGAAGTGGGACCCACCCGGATGAACCTATCCACCAGAGGTGGCGACACCCTTGACTCAATTGAGGTTCCGGGAAGAACCCCCCACACTCAAGATAACCATACCGTCCGTGCTCAGAGACAGGGATTGGTTTGCATAAGTACCTACAAACCGTTGCCCTCACACTGCGGAAAGTTACGTTGCCCTTGAGTGTCCCCATGAGCTGCGGGTACTTGCCCGTTTTCACCTCCAGGAAAGGTTACTTCCAAAGTCGAGGATTTGCCCACTGAATGCTGGTCGCACACAACAAGCAGGCCGAAGCCCAAAGAACCACAGACACAGGTAGGTTAGAGATTATGATGTACTTCCATCTCTCCTAGAGCTAAACACCCCTCCATCCTGGATAAAGGAATGTCACTGGGACCCGATGCCCAGTCGTCCATGTCTGTGGCCAACTTGAAAATGCCGATACCAACACGGAGCATTTACCTCCCCTCTGGGGGCTAGGTATTTCACCTCCCAGGACGAGGCTACTTCCAAAGTCGAGGATATGCCTCACAAAATGCCAGTCGTACACGACAGGTAGGACTAAGTCACAACCACAAGCTACAGGCAGGTGAAAGATCTATGAACTTAATCAACACTAGCAGAGCTGAACACCCCCACCACCCTGAATGGAGGGAATGTCACTGGGTACTCTCACTTTGGGTAAACCCAAAGAGGCTGGCTTGTCCAGTCGTCCATAGCTTGTGATCTACCTGAAGTGCCGGTTCCAACACCGGGCAATTACCTCCCCTCTGGGAGAGCTAGGGTCCGCGTGGTCGCCCAGGCCACGAACCCACGCAAGCGTGAGCCCCCTGTCTGAAGAGAAGGCGGATATATCCGCTTCCCGTCCGGAACATCAAAAACCATAAGCGGATATATCCGCCACCCGTCCTTTATCGCCAAAGACTTAGGCAGATATATCTGTCACCCGTCCGGCAATGGTTAACTCATAAGAAGTTTCCTGTAGCTTTATTAGATATGAAATAATGAAATAAGCCAAAAATTAATAAGCCAGCCAAACACCAGAATGTGTTATCTCATCACAAAGAGAACCAATTTAGTGTGAGGCCTCAATACATTAAGATTCCTGAATTTCCTTCTATTTACTCTCTCAAGCTGTACTGTGCTGCTATCTATCAAGCTCTTGTAGAACATTCCCAACCATTGTAACACAGAACATTATACAGTAGACCCCTTCTTAATCGAACCTAACGGGGCCAAACCTAGGACGGATAATTCAAAATTTTGCTCTCTTTGTGAAGAAATTCTATTTTCCCTCAACTCACCTGGACCACTTTTTATAGTTGGGGATTTCAATCTGCGAAATAGAGATTGGTCATGCTGCACCGAAACGACACACGATTCATCTTCTCGTTCTATTTTGCATCTTTCTTCCAGTTGCAATAGTGTAATGGGTTTTTTTTTATGAGCAAGGTGCTTTACTTGACCTTTTGTTTTTCTCTCTCAACAAGGTTTGTGTCGATTTGGTCCTGGACCCATTGGTACCATCTGAATCTCATTGCCCTGCATTGGACATCGAAGTAACATGTTCTGGTCTTTGCAAAACAAATAGATATGTTAGCAAATACGACTTCATGAATAGTAACAAAGAAGCAATTTTTAATGACTTACAGCACAGGCAGTATCCCTTCCTATATAATCCTGATAAAATTGAAGCATCTTTTTCAGACTTTTGTACCAAATTTAGTATCCTAATCAAGTCTCATACACCAATTAAATGCATTAGAATATCTTCCTTCCCATGTTGGGAAGGAAGATAACTTCTCATGATCTAAAGAAGCTGGTAATCTTGAAGATGAAGCTCCCGTCAGTTTAAGGCTACTTCAAACCTGCATTATTACCATGATTTTTGTCGTGTAAGGGCACATTGTAAGGAACTCACTTCACGTTGTTACCAACAGTACATTAGCAAGATTAAAGACTCCATGCAGTACAATGTTAAAGCTTTCTAGGCTCACATTAACTCTGCCATAACCAATAATACAACAAGCCTTGATGAGAAAACTGCAAATATCCCACAAGACATCTGTGAGATCTTTGCATCAGTTTTCAAACCATCTGAAAGATATGCTTTCTTCGAAGAACAGTGGACAGCTGGTTCCTTCACTGAATTTTCTGTTTCTTGCAATGAAATCAAAAAGGTCCTTTCCTCCTTGAACAGTAATAAGAATCTTGAGCTGGTCATGGCGATATTCCATCCTCAAAGTACTGTAGCTGGATTCTTGCTCCGCACTTGACAGTATACCTATTTCCCCACTGCCTGAAGACGAGCTTTGTCACACCTATTTTCAAGAATTGTAATTCTTCAGACATAATAAATTGCAGACCAATTTCCATACAATCATCGCTTGCCAAAGTTTTTGAATCCCTGGTCCTTGATTATTTTGTAGAAATATTCGTATTAAGAACCACTTATCAATAGACCAGCATGGTTTCTATAGTGGTAGTTCAGCTGCATTTATCCTAGTTATCCATCAAGAATAAGATGATATAATTTCAGCCTTTAACAGAAGTCGTCAAGTAGACAGCATTTACTTGGACATGTCGAAGGCTTTTGACAGATTGGGTCATGAACATCTACTGGCTAAGCTCTGCATTTTGGGTGTTCCTGGACCCATGCTAAGTTGGTTCAGAAGCTATGTCAGCAATTGTCACCAGATAGTCAGATACAATGGATGTACATTCACCGCCTTTCCTGTTCTTTCTGGAGTCCTCCAGGGCTCCTTGTTGGGCCCTGTGCTTTTTTCCATATTTGTTAATGACCTGGTCTCAGCAGTCATAAATTGTAAAATATTACTCTTCACAGATGACGCTAAAATATGCAAAGAAATTTCTTCGATTGTGATATGCTTCCAGCCGACCTTGACCAAGTATTATTGTAATGCCTCAAGAATGAAATGGAGCTTAACATCTCTAAATGAACAGTACTCTCTTTCTCTTGACGACACTGTATTGTATTCACAATTATCGTCTCGTAGAACGAGATTTAAAATTTCCCGAAATTTCGAGACCCGTCCATCCCTACTTATCATGCAAAAGAACAATCTGGTGTGACATTGTGATCCGCCATTGTCGATCTAGTTTCCTAAATTTGAAGCCAGTGACCTTAGCATCCTGTTTAGATGGGACTTTGATTAAGTAAAATCAGGGTCTTTTTCACATAACGCCTGATGCACAGAACAAATTGTGGGACTTGACTTTTGGAAAATTGTTCGTACACTGTTCTTTGAATAAGTTTCCATTGAAAGTCATCCACTCTTTGAAACTTCCGTGTCCGCCCTCTTTTTCAACGAAGTTAACATTTTGGCATTTACCCTAGACACTGTTTTCCTTGACACTCCCAGAATCTTGCACGCATCAGCTGTTTGACTTTTTGCTCCCTTTTCCTTTGCATAGCTGACCATAGACATAATAGCGGCTTGTTGCCCCTTTGTGAGGTGGTTTCCGCTCCCTGCTAGTTTTGGCTGAACCACTTCTCGATCAATGTTACTATCACTATGGTGCCGTATTACTAGACGGACGCCACATCGCTATGATGTTCATTCGTTGAAAGACACAAACTAACTGAGTGAAATCGGTATCCCGTTAGCAATGATTCATAGGAACGGATTTTCCCAAGGCGCCCAACCAGAGCAGGTTCATACATCGACTAACTTCTCAACCTGATAACTCGGTAACGGGAAATCGTAGAGTGTTCACTCAAATTTTTTGTTTTATTCCTCTTTTTCAGACGAAAAATTGAGCCTTCACATGATGCTCCAAGTCTTATGGTTCAATTTATGCAAATTGTAGTAGGACACGGGATTTCTAGGAACAGCGAGGGGAGGGCGGTAACCCCGGCCCGCCTGCATCGCCAAGCTCCCAACAATAGCGTTGTTTTGACAAGCAGGATTAGGTAGGATGGGTCCACTCTACCTGAAGAAATGGGACTTTAATTTTGAATCTTACTATAGAAGATCGGCGCACGCCCAGTGGCATCAGAAAGAAACTTTCCTTAATTTCTTGATATCCTTAGTATAGTACTTAACCTTTTAATTACAAGCTTAATTTTGCTTACTTAAGCTTCAACAAGGACAAATACTTAATATATACTCTAAATTTGACCTATCAATACGTGTACAAATGTTAAAAGACGAATAAAATATTATGTCCTATGTCTTTCAGTGGAATAAATTATAGTTGTAGGCAAGAGTCAATAAAAATTCTTATTTAACCTTTAGTAATATTAATATATGTTTTCCAAATCTATCGTAATACAGTGCAGAACTTATTGTTGAAATGAAAGAAACAAGCAACCATTTTGGTACAAGACAGGATGTTTATTTACAGTTACACCCTGTAGAGTTTAACAAATTGTTTCCATCGCCAAGCAGGGGAGTGGAAATGCCGAGATTCCTAGAAAGCGTCGGATAAACCAAACTACTTTCAAAACTATGTCGATTAAAACAAACTGATGTATTTTACGAGCAAGGGCTGATAATCAGATATCTGTTAATGCGAGGTCGTTAAGGTCCACTGTAATACCCAATACAAACAATTACAAAATTACCAATTAATTAGGCCTACAAATAATGTGACGTTTCACGGGCGATGAGTTCGCTTCTAGATCAGCCTTCATTACAGTTTTTACTATTTGGTGGAATGGGATTTAAATAATTCACACATTTACGCCTACAACCTGGGTAGGGTTCTGCTATTACCCAAATGCATTAAAGGTTTGGCAAAACAAATTTAAATCCATCTGCACATTTGAGTACAAACTGACATGAAAAAAATAAGTAAGTCGATGTATAGATTGAATAGAGTAGGATGGGGAAAATGAAGATGGATAAGGTTAACCCTCCAGCTGGTCATTAAAATTTCCCGTACTGGTAAGGTTTTTTTGACCACCGCGCAATTATTTAGTAAATACCACATAAAACATATAAAATGGTACAAAAAACATACATATAGATTTTTTTCAGAAAGAAATAACCTATTCAAAAATAATAGTTTTAATGGTGTACTTACAAGTATGTTAACAGGTATTCCTCCTATGTGGGTACAGCAATATTGAAAAAAAATGTTTCTTCTTCTTTTAGTATATTATCTCTGGTCAAATATGTATTATATCAAAAAATAAGATAGCCAAAATGTTCACAGTTTCATTGTCTTTCCAACTATGTATAACACTTGCTAGTTTATATAACAAAAACAGTCTATAAAGCAAATATGTGACAAAAACACGAAGCACTTTTTCCGCACAAACACAAGACCTGCTGGACCTGTGCTGGAAACCACTGCCCCAGGCTTCTCACTTCATTTCACCATAAAAATATTGTGTTTTAGGCCTATATGTGAATTGAAATTATTTACAAAATAAAAAATACAAGTCTTAGAATCAACTTTGGACAAAGGAGCTAACCGTTTACAAGAAGAATTCTAGTCAGAATCGTTAGCGTTATTTTCCCTTGCTCTCTTACCCCTCTTGGGTGCTCTCCAAAAGTGCTCCAACTTGTGAAAACAGCCTGGGTGCACTCCTGAGTTACATGCAGGGCACCAAAAATGACTCCTGGACTTTTTTTGTGGAGTGGAACACACAACACACATCCTGAGTTGTACTCCAGGCAATCTCGTCAATACATGGGACGCAGAGGGTCCTGCATCTCCTCCAGGACCAACGTCTGGTATCTGAGCTCTTGGGTTAGGCACTGCAACATCACTTGATAAACTTTCAACGATGCTAACCATATAGTTGTATCGTGTCATAGGCTGGTCAGTATTTTTCAGGTACAAAATATAACTGTTTAGGAGAGCCATGTCCAAAAAATTTTCAAAGATCTTCTTCCAATATTTTTTTGTAGCTCTTGTACAGGTGCTGTGATATAGACTTATCTTTGCTGTCCACACCACCCATATGAAGGTTGTACTCATTTATTAGGGATGGTTTTATAGCCTCTATTCCACTTTTTTTACTTTTTACTACACGGTCATCCGCGGGGTATCCAGTTGTTATAAGGTAAACAGGCTTGCGTTTTTTCTTTTGTTTGTAGCCAACAAGCAGAACTCCTTGCTTTCTAAAGTAGATTGATGTCTCAGGTTGTAATTTAGCATCTAAAACACTTTTGGAGAGTTCTTTTGACCGCTTGTTGACGGTACCGGTAATGTAAGTTTCATGTTGAAGTAACTTTTTGGCAAGAGGTAATTTAGTGTAGTAATTATCTGTGTACAGATGATATCCTTTATTGAGTAAGTAGAATTTATTTAGTAGGTGTAAAACTACCTTTTCTGTAAATGCAATATCAGGATTTGTATTTTCAAGGATGTCTTTACCACTGTACAGCTCAGAATGAAGTACGTACCCGGTGTCACTATCGCACACTTCAAATTTTTTTATACCGAAGCGGGCATGTCTTTTGTTAGGCATATATTTTATAAATGTACACCTATTCTTCATCCCTATCATAGACTCATCTAATGAAATGTTCTGGTTTGGAATAAAATAAACTTTAAAATATCCATTCATTAGCTCATAGAAATGTCGCACTTTGAACCATGGATCATGTCCGAGCTGTCCTTTTGGTATATACTGTAGAGAGCTAAGATGGAACATTGATCTCAGTGCCTGAAATCTTACTAGGCTCATATTATCAGGAAAAAAAGGTAATCTCTGAGATCTAACAGTTGACCAATAATTTTCAATGTTCTGTTTGTAATTCAGCCCCATATTTATAAGAAGGGCCATAAAACGCTTCATTTCCTTGATAGAGGTTTCTTTCCACCTTCTTAGTCTACTGTTTGGCGTCAATGTACCTCCATTTATAGCTGATTCTATTTGTCTGCTTGCATAAGCATTTGTTTCCCTCACCATCATACCCCAGATAACATTAGTAAAGAAAAGATAGAAATATGTAATAGGGTTGCTATTCCGGGGAGGAAGATTTCGAGGACCTGGATTTCGTACCTGAAATTTTTTTGTGACGTCAAACATTTGTTCAGGTGGGTAAACCCTAACCCAGTGTACACCCGAGCTAATCCTAGGCCCTGGCAGAGTATAATTAGGTTGATTCAAAGGGTTATTTACCTCAGGGATAGGAGGGTCATCTGGATCTGAGTGTTCTGGAGAACTTGGCAAAGGCCTACGCAAGCCTACTTCATTAGGCCTAGGCCTAGGTCTTGGAAGACCAAAATCTGTAATAGATGTATCTGAGTTCTCATCTTCACTGTTTGGAAAGTATAATTCCCCACTCCCAGATGAAAAATCAGTCAAAGATATGTCAGAACCATACACATCTGAACCCACATCACTGTCATCAATTTCATTTTCATTTTCACTGAATACATCACTTTGTAGGTCAGATATTGGTTCAGCATCATTCAAACAGGCCCTAATTGCACTAGAATTACTTAGTTCACTCATTTTAAGTTAAAAACTCACCACAACTCACTAAAATATTCATTTTAAAGCATTCAAAGTAAAGGGTTAACAACAAAATGCGGCAGACTAGACGATGCAAGCGAACACAAACAATCAACTGAAATACAGGCTTGCCAACATTCTTTTTTTTCAACAAATGCAACTAAACATATGATGACTAGATTGCTCAGTGTTTGCTCTTTAATACTATATAAAATACATAGATATTAAACGTAAAATAACGGAGTAAATTGTGTTTTACATAACGCTTGCAAATGGGTCGCGATCGCGATCTTACCAGTAATCGCGTGACGTAATTGAGTCGCGATCGTGACTTATACCAGTTGGAGGGTTAAAGTTAGCATAATACATCTGACTTTGAAAATATAAAAGGCAGGGATGGACAATTTGCATGACTGTCTCCTTTTTATTCATGCAGAAAAATACATCAGGTATTTATTGTTACCCTTGTTCTCTGTTGAAACTGATGGGAACGTGAATTTTTGGTTCTATTGTTGATGGAAATCTACCATTAACTATATATACTTGATTGTCAAATTTTGCTGGTCAGATCTCAGTTTTAAGATTTACCTATCAATCAATTTGTTACGTACAAAATTCAATGTTTACACATCAGTCACAAGTTTCCACCAAAGCTAATTTCTTTTAATGAAAAGAAAAATAAACAAGAATTGTTTGCCAAACCATTAATGTGACCATGTGATTGGCCCACTAGTCAGGTTGTAAAAGCGGTTTGTGGCTATACAACTTGTGTTATATTATTTGCCTGCTAAGCTGTGTCAGCAGTTTTCAATAGTATGACAAGCAAACAGTGTTAAAGGCAACTATCACTGATAGCCACACTATGTATGTTTTGGTATGAACAAATAAAACCCTTGAAAATTTATCCTCATTGAGAAAGGATAAATTACAGTAGTAATTTATTTCAGTGAGGTAAAGAATTAATACATTGATAAAGTACCCCTGGATAATAACTTGTATGGATAGGCAATGTCTCAGTTATAATTTCAGGGGCTGTTGTTTTTGTACATTGAGATAGTATTTTCTAAAATTCTAAGTTTCATTGATTATTTGTACTTTAAACTATTTTTGTCAGCTTTTAATCAGGTGATCATAACATTTTTTTTCTTCTTATAACACAGGTGTCTGCTCTCGTGCAGCTGGTGTGAAGCCCCTCAACCACTATGGTTTCTTCTACCAAAGACGGAAACTGTCGGATTCTTGCAACCCCAAGGTGTTCACCAACCACCGTATGTCTCCTGATGATCTCCGTACGGCCTTCTCTCATGTCAGCAACTGTTCCACCCCTACATCTACCCCCTTCTTGGTCACCACTCCCACCTCCCACTACCGTGCCAAACGCCTTCCCGTCTCCACAACATGTCACTAACCACAAACTCCACATGCCACAGTCGGTCTTTATGCTCAAACATTTTCTTTTAATGTTATCTCGATATTCTCATGTAGAATTGTAGCGTACAGGGAAGAAAGTGATTTACTTTTAAATTGAAGAAAGGTTGTTTTGGGTTGTTTTAACTTACACTATAGTTTTGTTTAGATATTCTAGTTTTTTTTTGCAAGTGATATTTATTTGTCAGTTTTGAGTTTGTGTCCTCAAATAAGCCATTAGATCTGGAAAACGCATCAAAAGTGAAAGTGTGACACAAATCTTTCTAATAATTTGTTACTAATTAGGTATTCTTTATCTAGGGTGTGTAAACCTAACATGATAAGGTTTCATTTATTTTGACTGTAATGAGTTGTTTAATAGGGATCATGGCATAAATATCTCATGAAATAACAAATTTACTGTAGCCTATAATAACAATAATTTTTATATGGTCGAAATCGATCACCACTTACCATCTTTTTTTATATTTACGGTCTTGTGAGTAACAGTATAAGCGTAAATATATATGTTTTAAGTGTTATAAGACATCTTTTTTATTTACTTTCTGTAAATTTAATAACACATACAATGCTGATCAAGAAGTTATTTAAATATAAATAATAATCAGTTATTCATGGGTTTACTGTCTTACTTTACAAAATTAGAAATAGTAAACTATTTGAATCAATTTAATTCATAGAGTATCATACTGAATTTTTGGATTTCTTTGAATAAAAAAAATGTTGTCAATGTAATGAAATATTCTTTAACTTCTTTCAAATATTTATAAAATCTTGACAAAGTCATTACAACAGCTAAAATCAAAGCTTAGTCAATAATCACAATACATTTTATATTTAAACTAAACAGACGTACTAAAATATTTTTTTTAAAGTTACATCTGAATGATTTTATAATTAATAAACTTATCCAAACTGTAAAATGGGCTATTGATCAGCCAACAGAATTTAAGGGTAAATTCAGCTTTAGGTTGATGTAAGATCAATAAAACTCTGCTGTAGGTTTTGTTCATGAATGTAAGATTGGTCTTAAGTTAATTTGTTCAGTATTATTAGACCTCTTGTGTTCATTAACTATTTCATAACATCAGTTGTTCACAATAACTCTCTATTTTTTTTTCATCTTCTGGTAATCATCCTCTAAAAGCTCATACATATATCAGAAAGACGTGAATGTACTTTGGCCTTGATGTTATCATTGTGTTTTAGCCTGTTGTTCCTCTAAGGTGGAGTTAGTAGACAATCTTTCAAGTTAATAGATTTAAGGTTTTTTATCAAAGATGAATGAATATCAAGACATTGTCGTTTATCTTAATCATTGAAATTGAAATATTTCGTCATTAATAGACTTGCGCCATCCCCACATTTGGCAAGTCATTTCTGTTCAGACTATTATATCACATTTAACTTGTGATCGACTTAAATTATTTTAAATATTATTGTTAACAATAAATATCATATTTTGAAAGAAAACTGATAACTCAAGTTGATGAATTTATTTGACACAAGATGGGTCATCAGGTGTCGATTTAGAGTGTGCCTCTTTCCGTGTATACTATTGTTTATGAATTTTTCAAAGTAAAGTATTTGGATTATCGATGTAGAAGTTAATGATCAAAAGATAAATTATTAGAATACTTACACATTTTAGCCATCAGCTGTACTAGATTACCGTAGGTAGGTGATTAAGAGAAGGATTAGATTATGTTAGTACAAATGCTATGAACGTTACTATTTTTGTACGTCAGATGTGCCATAGGTAGAAGCTAATTAGTATTCAAACTATTACTTGAGACCTAAACTGTTTTTATCACGCTTTTCGCCTTGCTAAATGTACAGCTGAGGAAGTCCACATTTCATGTATTGAAGTTATTAATTTTAATGCATAAATGCTCAGAGTTAGTTTAAGGAAAGTGATATTTATTGTAAAGTTGTTGTTGGTTTGTAAATGGAATGTTGAGAGACTAACTTGTTTTATATTGATTACAAGAGGCCTCGGGAAAGTGAATGAATATTTTTTGACATCGCTTTGTAAATAGTTGTGTGTCGTAGATAGCTAATGGATCATCTTTGTTATTTCTGACAAATTTCGATACAGGGCTCAAATTGCATTTGCTTGTACCAACAATTTTAACCTGGTTTCCAGTGTTAAATAATAATCAAAATCCCATGATCCCATTTAAAAGGCTTCAGAATGTCAATTTGCTTTCATGGAAAACTTGTATCGTAACTATTTGGTTGATCAAAAGCAAAATGAATGTAACTCATAAAACTTTCTAAAAAAACACGTTTTTAGATCTCAGTACATAAATCAGTCAGTGGACAAAGAAGTCTATGCATTTAACTTTAAAAATTTAACTAAGCCTCAAATTTAATGTTAAAAGCTTTTGTGGCTAAAAGAATTTTTTTAGAAAGTTAATAAGTAGTTGAGTATAGCAGTGAGTTTATCAGGTCTTGCGCCAGTCCACTATTTGTGTAGATGATTTTATCAGCTAGTTTGTTGCAATATTATTAAAACCATTAAAAAAGGGTATTACCGGTTAGGTTGGCAAAGAGTTGGACAAGTAAAAGCAATCTCTAAACCCTCTATCAGAACTTGCAAGAATAAGTAGATCCAGTTTAGGTGCTGTACTCGCTAAGGAAATTAATTGTTGAACCGTACGAATTTAGTTGTCTTAAGTGTAACTTTGTATATTCGATAGTAGAGTATTTAGCCATATTTTCATTGGAATTGGTTATATCAGTTATAGAACTGCTAAATACTCCATCATAACTTTTACCTAATATTCTATCATGATTGATTAGTTAAACAGTAGTCTAATTATAATGGCAGCTTAACTTTTACAGTTAATAATTAGAGAGTAATAATTTAAAGTTTTTTTTAAAAGCTATTTTTACTTATGCTTTATATTTTCATTTTACTATATATGCCCTTCAAAACTTGGTTTTGTATGCAAAATCATACATTTGTATATTAAGTCAAGTTCTATGCCCTTTGCGAGTATAATGCTGCTATACTTCTTGTTTGTCTAGAATTCCAATATTTTCAAAAACGTTTTTTAATACTACTTAAATCTACCTTTGTGATAGATTTGTTAGTAATATTAATAATAGTTTATACTATGGACTGTGATAATTACTTAATTAGATCATCTTTAATTTGACAATTATTCTTGTATGTTTCATATCAACCCTGTTATCCTTTAAGAAATGCTCTAGAAGTGTTGTTACTGGGTTGGAGATTTTGGATGAATTGAAATAACTAAAACGTCCATTGGTTTGTGACTCTTAGGTCCGCTTAATAAGGAGCAGTTTCAATTTTTTGTAAACTTTTAGCTTGACAAAATAATGTATCTTCAACTCTTAACATTTTTCTAAGAAAAGAACTATTGAATCAGCTTTCTTCAACTTTTCAACTTTAACTTTGTAAATATATGATGTTAAAATGTATAAAATGTTTTGGAAAATGGAGAATTTAAGGATAAATATGTACTCTCAAAATGAATTTACATAAATCAATACTACTATTACCCATGAATATACATTGAAACATTATATTATTTTTGAGATAATGTTGGCAATGGAAAATATTTCCACGATTGATTTCTAAATAATCCAAAGGATGGGTTATTTAAAAGATTATTGAAACACCCTGTATGGATATGTGTGATTAGGCGGCTTAGTTACCGTATTTAGTTAAAGAACTTATTATTTTATGAAACTGTAGATTTGATAAGAGAATGAGAGTTGCTACTAAGTAACATTAGAATTTCCAGTTAAGTAATTTTTCAAAAAATATTCTTTGTTTGATTCAAACGCTGTCCGCAATCTAAATTTTAAAGTAAGTTTTTTAAGTGCAGCGCTTTTCAATCTGTTCAGGCCTATATGCTGTGTATCCAAAATTATGTCAACAAAACTGATTCAACAAATTTTTATTTGTAAAAGGTAGTTTGAGGTTAAGTTTTCCCAATTTTACCCAGTACAAAAAGCAAATGTTTAACCCGTTAATGCCGACTTACGAGCGTTATTCGTACGGCCGCTGCAGGCCCGGCGGCTGACTTACGAGTGCTGCTCGTGTTACCGCTACACAGCGCCACTTGTTATTTAATTATTATTATTTTCCCCACTTTTGTTTCTTCTTACTCTTATGATGTTTATAAATATCTTGCTTCTTGTTTTGCATATTTACTCATTTATTTTTGGAATAACAAACAAGGTTGTATTGCCATGGAAACCAGATATCAAGAATAAGAATAAGAACTTTATACAGCCAGAAAATATTTCATGCAAATACATTGGCACGTCAATTTTATAAATAAATAATATTCAACAGAAGTCCTTAACTCAACTAAGTCTTGCCTTTACCAAATGAACATGATATTGCCAATTTAGAGTAGTATCAAAAGTTAGTCCCAAAAACTTTGGATGCAGATTTTCATTTGGCATCTCAGGAATTTCTCTAAGACTAAATACTACAGTTGATGTTTTATCTTTATTTAGAATTAAATTATTTGCTGTGAGCCAGTTCTCAACAACATTTTTATTCAACTCACAGTTTTCTAAAAGTTGACTATAGTCTGAACTCCTGGTGATTACCGTGGTGTCGTCTGCGTATAAAACAATATCTGTAGGGACATTTACACTTAAGTCATAGACCACTATCACGAACAATAATGGCCCAAGTACCGAGCCCTGAGGGACTCCACAGGTTACAGGTTTACATTGAGACAGGTTATTTCCCATCACCCGAAATCAGCTGCAGTAAGGTAGACAAACATTTTTTTAATATTATTACTTATAAAAGTAAACAACTTGTGATTATTCTACACAGGGAATCAATTGAACTTGATAACAGTAGTGTCATTTAATCTTGGAATTTGTAAATCAAGTTTACTTTAAAAACATTGTTTAAAAAAATTTTAATTTTATAATATTTTTGAGTTTTATTTTTTTATTTTACACTTTGACTATCCAATTGCCACATTTTTTGTAGACAATTTTACTGTGAACAAAATGGCGAAAGAATTATTAATTTATTACCTAAGGTTTTCTTTCTATAACAATTAGAGTAAAATTAAATGCCGACAGAGGGCACTGTGGGCAGCGCATTAATTCCTTCCCCAATGGGTTGAAGAGATATTTTTGCAGGTTTGCTTTAATTTCAACTTCCATATTTTATTTTGAATCCGGTCCAATTGATACACAAAAAGCAATAAACAAAATTTGATATATTGAAAGGTTTAACTGTTTAGTTAAAATACTGTTACTGCAAATTAAGTGATATTAAAAAAAATGTCTATTCAAATTTAGGAAGCATTTTTACTTGAAACTTTATCACTTCAAAACTATTTGTTTCTGTTGGTGAAATTAAAGTTAATGAAAGAAAGTTTGTTGTAAACTCTTTTATTTTCTTACAATCACAACACAACACAGAATTATATTTAGTAAACAACTTCATATGTACAATGTAAAAACATATGATGGTCCATCACTAATCCAGACTAGATGAGTTGGGTTGCAATATTCAACAGTTTCTCATAATAAACCCTTAGTTTGATTGGTAAAACTAAAACTTAACCTAGTTTATAGATAATTGGCAAGAAAATAAAAAAATAAACCACTATGTTGAGAGACTAGGAAGTCTCGTCAACTCTGGATACACTCTGTTCAGTTAATCTCTATTTTTGGCAAACTGTTAAACAAATTATGACAAAAGAATTAGTAGCAACCTCTCATCTAAATTTAAGTTTATCACTCTTTTCATAAATACCAATTCATGTTTGTGATATTCAAGAACAGTACTTAATATGTTTGATTTCTTTTACATTTGAATGTAGGACATTCGATAGGAGATATCGTTTTTTTTTTTAAAGAAAAATTGTGAATGTAATTTCACAGTTCCTGTAGCATTAATTTACATCATTATCAACACTTTCTCAACTAACTAGCAGCTAGTCATGATCAGATCTATGAAATATTTCATTCTATGCTAATGCTCATGTGAGTATCCTAGTATATTGATGAAATTTTAAACTTATTGATTTGTAGTTAGACTTTTAAAGATAAAAATCAATGCAGAATAAAATCAAAATTGCTAACTATCCTAGTTTTTTAAATGTATTTTCACTCTAAAACTCAATATAACGCTATGATATTGTAAGGCTCCCTGCAGAACTATATGCGAGGAGTTGTAGTCAATACGTAAGTTTTTCTTTGTAAGTTTTTGATAGGAAGAGTGGGTTTAAAAAAAGGCTTAGATGACTGTAGTATCTATTCTAATGTGCACTCCAAGGACAGGTGATATGATAAAAATGTTTATGAAAGACTACAGTGGTCTCATCAATATAACAATTTGTTGGTTTTTTAAGGGTAATTGCTGACTAACCTTCCCATGACCACACCAACACATCTTTGCCAAACTTCAATATCAAGATAGAGACTGGACGTTAAACACTTATCTGTTGTAGTGTATTTGTATCGTGTATCCTGATGTTGGCTGTCAGGTCTACAAAAGGGTTGTTTAACATCCATTTGTCAACTACATCAATATGAAATTACGTAGATAGGCCTTTAATAGCCATAGTTAAACTTTCAGTCAAAATATAACTCTGAAATTACGAAAGTAACCACCAAACCAAACGGAACAATTGAGATGTTCACCAGTCGCATGTTTAGTCAGTACTGGTCAGTTTGGCGGAACTACGATAAACCCGTGAATGATGATAAACTGTGAATGACCGTGAATGATGAACTATGATAAACCCGTGATAAACTCCTTTTGCAATGTGTTAATTTTTTGGTTGCAAACAGCCCGTAAGTCGGTTTCAATCCCTAATAAACGTTGTTCCACGTAAGTCTCTAGTTAAACTAGCTCTCTGTGACAGGTTAAGGCTGGTGTGCTTAACTGCCAGACCATGATTACGAGATTTAATGATGAAATACTATATCCAATTCTTCCTATCAAAAATCAATCTCTAAGCATAGCCACGCACGATTCCTTAAATGCCCAAATAGAAATATTATACTCTAAATATATTATTAAATTATAAAAATTGCAGTATCATTGGTACAAATAGAGATAGCTTTAGCATAATATATTTCATAATTTCTTTGCGAGGTTTATATTTTTTCCTTCTATGTGTTTAAGGTGAACATATTCTTTTACAAAAGCTTATTTTGTTTACAATAATATTCTGTAGTAGGCCTAGATGAGAGTGAAATATAATTACAAAAGACATGACATTCTGTTTATTTAGTTTAGATCCGTTATAAACTTGCTTAGAATTAGTTACAAATTCCTTGTAAAATTAGTGAGCAATAAAATTGCCTTTTGAGTTTGTATTTGTTGTTATCTTACCTTAGCATTTCATAACTTGGTTGAACTTCTTGAATAACAGAATAGCCTACAGGTGATTGATATAAGTGTGCCAGCCATATTATTCGAAAACTATAAGAGATATAAAAAAGTTCAATGGTAAGTGCCTTGGATTTTTTATTTAAAAAATTGTAGTCAAGTCGAAACAATTATTTTAGCCATCATTTTTCCAATATGGCCGCCAACATTGATTTTTCTTATGGAACACCCTGTTTTTTATTATGTATTCAGGTAGAAAATGTAATTTTAAGACGATTTTATTCTTGTGATTTTTTTCATAAACCTAACAGTTTCAAAGATAATAATGGTTAAAGTTTTGAAATTTCGGCATGAGAAAGAGTTTCGATAAAAGCCTAAGCAAGCATGCCAGCTGTTTATTCTAAAAACTATTCAAAATTTCTCAACTTACACCATTATTATCTTTGAAACGGTTAGGTTTATAAAAACAATTGCAAGAATAAAATTGTCTTAAAATTACATTTTCTACCTGAATACATCATAAATTACAGAGTGTTCCATAAGAAAAAACAAAATTGGCGGGCATATTGGAAAAATGGCGGCTAAAATAATTTTTTCGACTTGACTATAATTTTTTTAATAAAAAATCCAAGGCACTTACCATTTAACTTTTTTTGATATCTCTTATGGTTTTCGAATAAAACGGCTGGCACACTTATATCAATCACCCTGTATATTGTTGGTATAAAAACATATATATATAAAAACAAGATTTGTACCTTTTCAAAAGTATTTGGAAAGATGATGTTTCAAATTTTCTTGTATTTCATCCTTTGTATTTACAAAAAAAACTTTTTTTCTTAAGTTTAAAATCCCATTTTGTCTCACCATACAGGTAGATTACTTAATACTGCATTATAAATGTTTAAACTCATGATTTAAACAATGTTAGCCGTGGTCTACTTGTCCTGGTATTCTCATGGTATGGTATACTCATGGAATAGGTAGCACAATTCAAATTTCACAGTAATAATTATTGTTTAAAAAACGATTTAAAGAAGTTAATGAGGTCTTGTCAGCAAATATCACCTTGCAAAAGGGATCCTGTAAGCATTAAGGCAAAATCTAGATTTAATCTCTTGAACATACAGTCGACTACCTCGGTTACCGAGAATCTCGGATAACACTTAAGTCGCCTACATTTTGAGGTTAGGGTTTATAGTGCCACATAAGGAAGCCAAGTACTTGTAAAATATATGTTTTAACATTACTTAGCGAGTAAAAATGAACCAAATGAATTTTCCTTACAATCTTTGTTCAAAGTATGGTAATGTTATAAAAGAAAGCAATAATACAAACATGCTCAATACTTCTTTAATCGTCTTGAAAACTTTAAACACAGTGCTGTTGTGGTTATGCTATACCAAGAAAGCATGGGGTAGCATACGAATGGTGTTTTTGGCCTCTAGGGACCTAGTTTTATTACTTTCCAATATACAGGTTTCCAAAAAGATTTATAAGTAAAACATGGTGGCTTACAACATAACAACAACTAAAAGAAACAAAAAAACCCTGCCTAATAGAATATTTCATTACAAGAGTATGAAATGAGTAATTATATTTGAGTATGATCTTTTCATCAACTTTTCCCTACACTACAAAAAGACAAATTATTTTCCAAATTAAAACAAACATAGGATATTTCTTGGTTACAGTTAGGAAAATAACAAAACTAATAGAATTTTTTAGGTCAAGCCTTTGATTTAACGTAAAAATTTACAGTTTTGGTTGTTGCCAATTGAAACAGTTGATAAAAAAATAAAAAATATTTGTTTACATCGGCAAAATTAGAGAAAAACCAAAACCAATTTTTATCCAAACCAAACCAAACTATAGTTACCTTATAATAACCTTGAGGGCCATTAAAAGCCTTTTTGGCAACATTTTGTAGTACCTAATAAATTTTAAGTGAAAACAAAATTAAAATCTGTTTAAATTCAATCCCATAGTGACCAAATGTCTGAAATAGCTTTCAATTTTTTCACCTCAAGGGCTGAATAATTTGAAGTCACACTTTAAAGCAGCTTACTTTTGCTTTTATTTTTTTTATTTTTTACTTAGATCGAACTTGTTTGCATTTCAATTGTCAATGTGGAAAATTATGTAAATTTGATAATTATATATGTAAAAACGGCCGACATGGTTCAAGAGTAGAAGTAGACATTACTGATTGTAAATACACACTGTAATCAGTGGATACTGGATGTTATAAATAAACTATATAAAATACTGAATTATATTTGTATTAGGTTAGTTTGCCGATCAAATCTGTAGGAATAGGTTTTAAAAACTGATAATAAGATTGCAGTACTGGTTTGATAAGGAAAAAAAAGTCCAACCAAGGCCAAGGTCAACTCAGGTACCCGATATCAGCAGCGAACTCTTATCAGTCAGCACTGGATGCTTACAAAATACTAATAAAAGTGAAACAGAACTGAAAAACGATATTCAACCAGAGGGGGTGTCTCTGCCAGAAGAAATAGACAGTGTGTTGTTGAAAGAAAATTAAAACCTTATGCAACAGTTACATGAGGCAAAAAATAAAAGCTCTTTTTTTGAACTTCAACTGGAAGATGATTTAAAGCAAAAGAAGAATAAATGGAAGTAATGAAAAAGTGTCATGAAAACCAATTACTTGATTTAGAGGATAAAATAAAGAGAAAGACCCTTGAAGGTAAATTAAAAAAGGAAAAGGAATTGAAAGAAATTTTAATATCACAAGCAGAAGAGGAAAACGTCTCCAGCAAAAAAACAGTGGTATTTCTAATCAAACAACAGTAAATAACAAATGCATGGAGTGTAACATACTTAGAGAAGAATCAAACAACATGATGTCATCTCTAAGAACCTTTAAAACCATTATATCACTGTTGAAATCGGAAAATAATGATCTAGAAAAAAAACTACAGTCTATGGAAAATGTTAAATCCACCTGTTTAAGTTGTTTTCCCCTTGTAGCTACTTATTCAAGCATTTGGGTTGAATCTGACAGTTTATCAGATTAGCAGGAAGTTAAAATCTCCAAAAAAAGACAGTCTCAAGTTCTAATGACAAGTACACCTACACTCAACATAAACAATCGCTTTGACGCTCTCTCAGAAACCCATGAGAACAGACAAGAAGATGACATAGAATTTGTTCCTTCTACAACAACTAAACAAACCAATACAACTGTAAATATAAATATTGAAAAAAACAAAATCAATAAAAAATTTAAATGCTTTTGTGTGCTGATAGCCATGGCAGGGATCTCTCGCATCATCTAAATGGAAACACTAAATCTTTTGAGACAGTAGGTTTTGTAAGACCTGGAGCCTTTGCAAATGAAGTCTTAATTGAGAAGAATATTGACGGGGAGAAACTTAACGAAGAAGATTTTTTGCTATCAATGGCTGGTTCTAATGACATTGCTAGAAATTAGGCACAGCATATCCTGGATAGTATATCAAGAACAATAAAAAAATACAGCAATCAAAGAATAATAATTGTAGACTTTCCATTAAGATATGACTTGACAGAATGGTCTTGCGTGAACACCGAAATCAGGATCTCGAATGAAACTTTGAAACAAATGTGTTGTCAGAACAATAATGTAACACTGGTAAAAGTGAGTTCAACTGAGCGTTATCACCACACACGACATGGACAACACATTAATAGAATCGGCAAGAGGTGGCTGGCCAATAAAATCATTGAGGTAGTATCTGAAACCCATGCAGCAACGAATGAGGGAATGAGGCCCTTATATCCAAATACAATGATGAGTTCTACAAGCTACCGGAAGAGACAGAGAGGTGAGCCACAGCAGTCCACACCCACAGGGAAAGGACCAAAAGAGATGACAACACCAGCCAAATTAGGTTAGGTAGCTCTAGATTAGATTTTAAGATTAGAAATAATTTAGATTCATTATTGCACATAAACATTCAAGGAATAAAAGACAAATTTGATGACTTGAGCTTAATTTTGGATCAAATAAATAAAAAAAACTTTAATTATATCTTTAAACGAACATTGGTTGCCTAAAGAAAATATAGGACTGTTGAACAAAACCAATGGCTTCTGTGTAGCTGACTACTATGCTAGGAAAAATGGTTCAAGAGGTGGGTCAGCAATTTTATTAAAACAAAATGCAGGTATATAATATAAAATAAGAAATTACCTTAACATTTTTAATGAAGATTTTGATTTTGAGTGTTCATTCATTAAAATCCTGAACTTTGTAAAACCGACAATAATTGTATCGTTATATAGAGTACCATACAAGTTCACATTAGCTAGTTTTCAGAAAAAGTTATAGTATTTATTAAATAAGTTGAAAGGGAGGAAAATGTTAAACGTAATAATAGCTACTGACTGTAATATTAATGCCTTAGATAATAAAGGCTTCAGATGGATTTTTGAATGTTCTATATTTTAATGGATTCAAATGCAATGTTATGGAGGTGACCAGACCTAGCAGTGGAACTTGCATTGATAATATTATTTCCAATGAGAAATATCAGATAGAAAACATCCTCGTTAAATATATAGGTTTTTCTGACCATAGTGCCATTTGGGCTACATTACCCAGATTTAAAGAAAAGAAAAAATTAAAGAACATACCCTTAAACGATATTTTACTCCAAATGATACAGCTGAGTGTAAGAATAAAATTAAAAACTTGAAATGGAAGGTAGAGCTTGGGAAAAGTGTAAATGACAATTATAAAATTTTTTAAACGACTACATTTTGACCATGAATGAAGTATTTCCACCTAGACCTCAGAGAGTAAAAAATAAAAATAAATGCAATGGGAGACAGAGGGGGTCAAAGTTTCAGAATGGAAGTGCTGAAGTACAATGTTATTACAGAACTTACAGACAGTTGTAAAAAAAGTAGTTAGAGCAGCAAAGCGAAGGGCAAATGATAAATATAT